TGCAAGCCATTGCAAGCCTCAAAAAGCCCAATGCAGTGAAGCAGCTGGCATCGGACGGCGCCGAGGCAGATAAGACATGGCCGAAGGGCTCGAAGAGTTTTCGAAGATATTCATCTGTGATATCCTCATGCAAGCCTTTCACGTACAGACCTTGGAGTGAGCAACTTCTGACACTGTTCCATGTCATTCATCAATGTCCATACGCTCTAGCTATCTCTAGCTATCTCTAGCTACTCCAGCTTCTAGGCTCGCTTCCACCAGGGCTGACCCTGGCTCACGGAGCCTCCGCACATTGCCAGGAATGCACTTGCGCCACTTGCGACAAGGTGCTGATTTTGGACCTGGGCATTGCACTTCAATTCGGGGGGGCTGCATTAAACTTCACTGGGTGGAGAGAACTGACGTGCGTCCAGGTCTTTTCAACTTCCGGCTCGTGGCGGGTTCTTGAGTACGGCATCCTCGGCGAACTGCTTTTTCAGGATGCGCTCCCTTTCCGACTTTGGCTGAGCCTGGGACGAGAAGGGAGACGGCAGCGGGGTTTTGTGCACAGCTATTGCGCCTACGAGTACCACAGGCAGGTGGCACCCTGGAGCATGAAGGCACCGAGAGCATTCACTCCCTTCTGGAATGTTGCTTCTGAGACAAGCAGCTCTTTGCACATAAAGTCGTGACAGCGGATGCCCGTCTGATCCCACCTCCTCCGGAGTGTCCTGCAGGAGCAGTGCAACAGGTGGAACAGGTCCCGCAAGCTCATCCCAATCCGCCCAATCCACCCCGCACCCCGTCCGCGCACCCCTGACTGTGCAGGTACGGCAACTCAAGGACAAGATTGCCACAACAGCTTTCACACAAGATCAACGGGTTCCCACCTTTGAACTGGCGGCCCCGAGGCGTCAGGCATTCTTGGCCCATTTGCCGGCCCTCACCAGTGAGGCACTTCGAAGGGCCGAGGCTGCTTCAAGACCGCGGATGGCGCATCCAACCGCGCAGTAGTGCCGGCAGTACTCCCTGTTGGTTCGGTCCATCAATTCAGGCCATGACAACCACTTCCAAAACTGCACCGGTAAGGCAGGCAACTCAAGCAGAAGACTTCCAAAGCACAAGCTGGCACTTGGCCCACGTGGCCCTTCCAACGGTCCAGCCGCACAACTACATGCACAAAAACAACCAGACTCTGTTCATAGTGCACAATGGGCCTTCCTTTTTAGGCTGCAAGCAGAATGCAGACGACCGGACAACTCAGACGCAAACACTGGCTCTAGGCCCCGTCAAGGCACACTGGCACCCCGTTTCAAGGCTTAAAACACAGAGACAAAGGAAGACAAATAAACACACATGAAGACAAACAAAGGCATCATGGTTTCAGACGCTCCGCTGTTCAAAAAAAGCCTTGAGGTATCTACGCCGCACCAAGATAACGAGGAGGAGGAGGAGGAGCAGTGCAGAATTCAGATATCTCTCGGTGTGCTCCCAAGCCACGCTTCCGTATTGCACAAGCACTGGTGGAGGAGGCAGCCGCGGATGAGCTCTATAGTTTATCAATAACGCGCTGATTTCTGGCGTTGGTCCGCCTCTCTAAAGCAAGACTCCCTGCTCCGCGACCTTTCGTCATTTGTTTCGGTCCTGTTCTTCAGGACCTCGCATGTCCTTCATGTGCATCCTCAGCATCTCACAACAACGCTGCTGTACTCAATCGGCCCATGCAGTTGTTGGACGCGGCCGAGATACTCTTGCACACACCGTCTGGCATCTTCATGCAGTTCAAAGTTGACGAAAGCACTTCTGCGGCCTTGGGCATCTGTGCGGACCTTGTGGATTCAAGAGCAAAGTTCCGCCTGCAACATGCCGTGGAGGATAGTAGATGATAGTAGTGTTTCTGCATCGACTTGCAAACACCATCTTCCCAGCTACGCTTCGTCGCGGCAAGATGCTGCAATGCCGGTGAGTCTGCCGAATTTGCTGAACTCACGTCGCACAGCTTCCTGGCACTTCCGCAAAACACTCGCCGGACCGAAGCTCACGGTGCGACGGTGCGGCCGGCACGGAGTCCTCATCCCAAGAGGACGGAAAACACTTCACGTACAAATTGGTGAAGTCCTCCGCACCTGAATCACATGCCAACATAAGTCCACATCCAGATTGTCTGCATTTCCGGGCTTTCAGACTTTCAGGAGCCGGCTGTTCGGGGCACCCTCTTTTCGGTTCTCGCACATGCACACCTTAGAAGGCTTTGAAGGCCTGTCAAGGCAGCCAGAATGCCGCTCATAAGGGGCAGGCTTGAATTTTCTGGCCGCCTACCTCCACATTGTTGAGCCTTTCAATTGCATCTTTCGCTGCCTGAGCAGAGCTACAATACGTGTCTGATCTCCAAAGACAAAGCAAGTGGACAAGAGCTGCAGGCCCTATCAGGGGTACATCGCCTATGAGCAACGGTTTATGATGACACAGTGCAGGATAGTCTGCTGACAATATTTATCTGATTGAATCTGCGTCAGACCTGTGCAAGGCTTAGCTTCGGCAAATGCCTTGTCTCGAAATCCGGTATAGTAGAAACCTTAATTGAGCCCTCTACTTGTAGCCATCCGCAGGACATAGTCAAAACAGTAGGTGGGCCTCTTCGGTTTCGAAGTGGACGAAGCCATACCCAAATGAATTTCCAAGTAAATCTGCTGCAACCTCGGATTGTGAGCTTATACCACTCCATCGTGGTAACACGCAGTAGATTCGTTTTGGAATCATAGGGACAGCCCTTTCCTCACAAAAGCCTCTCACCCACGAACTTCGGATTGAAAGGCTAGTCTGTTCACTCGAAAAGAGCAGAATGATGAGCCGTAGGCAGTTTCTTAGCTGCAGCCGGCCACCTTGCAGGACCGAATCTCCCCAAACACGCTGAAAGTGTCGTGCAGTGCCTGGCGAGCAGAAGTCTGCACATGCAATGTCGTCTTCATATTTTGCTGCAATCCTCATACTCCAGCAAGCCTTGTTGTCGATGTTCTTGTCAAGGTTTGCAACGTAGACGTTGCTGTTGTTGGCCTGCACGCTCCTACGATGCAAAGGCAAGACTGAGAAGAGATTGACTCGGCCGTTCACTCGTCGCTCTGTTAGCTCGGCCTTCCTCTGCCCAGCGTCTCTCTGACCTCGTTTATGTCGTGAAGATTTCCCTACACTCACGCATCGCATGGTTGATATGATGCTAAATAGCCGAGTTGCTCCACATGAGACGGCAACTTCGGCCGTGGATGCTTGCGTAGCTTAGAGAGTCCAAGGCCGTTTCTGCATCCTTCACGTTGTGGAAATTAACCTGAACCACATGGCATACCTCGATTTTGTCATCACCTTGCAAAGCCCGTTCATCCGAGGTGCATAGCCATAGCCCAAAGACTTCCTCGTTGTCTTATCTCGGCATATCCGAATGGATGCCACTGGACCAACTGGGTTGAAGAGCTCGTACCTTGGTTTCAACATTGTGGTACGGAAACCAAACAATATATGGTGATGCCGGCATATGCAGTAGTGCAGCTGGAAGGCAGCATCGCCTCCGTAACATCTGGGTGAAGATCACCTTACATGTGTCAACGGTCTGGGGCCATTCAGGGATGTTCTTCGACGGCATCAAGTTCAACATGTCTGCATATCCTTTCCCGACCTGCTGGCCAACTACTGAGGCCAGCACCAACATAGAGAGAAGCCAACTGCGGTGCTCGGTTGGTCTGCATTTTGGAGGTCAAGCTCTGCGAAGTTTCTTGCCGGAAGCGGACTCAAGTCGCCGCTGTGTCTCAGACCATGGCCAAAGGCTACATTACCACATGCACATACTACCGCTAGTACCGCTAGTAGCTATCAGACTCAATCCGGCATGTCGCATTCAAGCTCATGCGAGGTGGTGAAGGGCTCCAGGCTACTCCGCATCTTGGTCTTTACGCGTATAGGGTCAGCAGCCAGGTGTGTACATTTTGGGCTCTGGGTCTCTGAGTCTTTGTAAGGTTCGCTGCAAGCCAATCTCATCGGCACGATTTGGAGCCACAGCCGGAAGCAAGCGCGAAATCCGAGGAATGCCCACAACACAAGCAAGGCCTCTCCGGTCGGCCCTGCAATCCTGTTTTCGTGTGGAAGAAGCCCTTGGGAAGCACATTCCTTTAAGGCTGCACGCGTAGGAAAAGCCCTGCAGTACCGGGACAATCGCGACCCTCGTCACCACAGACTCCGCCAGGCGTGCGAAAACCTCGTAGATCGTGGGATTCGACCTGGCACCAGGGGGTCTCCTGGGCTAGACCATGGGACTTATACAGCTCGCGCACACCATCTCGTAAACTGTCACTACTACGAGTATCTGACCTAACCGACACCGAGCTGCCGACTTTGCATGGTTTTTCATGTCGAATGGTCTGTACAGAATCCTGAACAACAGCGTCAATCCAACTTGCGCAACTGCTGGGCAGCTGTACGTGCAAACCTTAATGAGGAACAGCTCCTGTAATTTTCTGGAAGCTCACGATTCATGCGCTCGATGGACGACTCGAAATTTTTGCTCAGGCGAACTTCATAAGAATCCACCTGCGCAATAGCACGGCACGAGATGGGGGTTACGAGGTGTTTGCTCGCAAAGGGTTTGGGATCGGGGACCCAGTGTGCCGGGATGCACCTTCAAGTCCTTGTCTCGGGTTCCCCGCAGTGGTGAGCTGTCGCATAGGCTTAGGAAAAGACTGGCAAATGCTAAAGCACATATCATACACACTATCAACCCCCCCCCCCACCCCCTCTGCTAGAGAAAAGAACTTTTCAGCCGTCGGCCAAGCTGGGCAGCACCGAACATATATACAGAACGATCCAGCAGCCCGCTTCGTTTTGCCAGCTGCTTTTCGGTGCTCTCTGGCTCGCCTTTGGAGCCCGAGAGAGGAAAAGAGCAGAGGCTGTGTGCACTGTACATACTGACATACACTCTGTGCAAGTGTCTGTCTGTGAAACTCAGCTCCAAACAGGTCAAGCTGCGACACCTGCGGCTACGCATACTCCTGATACTTTGCCTCGGCTCTTTCGATCACCTGGCAGGATGAGCTCTGCTTTGCACAGCAGCCGATCGACTTGCTTGTTTCGTTTTCGCCCATCCCGCTTTCAGCTTTCCGATTTCTTCCCTCTTCCGGAGCCAAGTCGGAGTCCCCGCTTGAGAGTTCTCAATTTGGTGGCAGCAATATGGCCCAACACCACCACTCCCCTCCCCAACAGATGTCCCCCTCCACCACCACCGCCCCCCCACTCCACAATAGCAACAATCAAGATCAAACATAATTACACAATAACAAATAATAATGCTAAGAATAATGCAAACAATAATGAACACCATGGGTGCGTGTTTAGTTTTCCCGCAGGGGGGTGGTCGTACCCCCACCCTCTCCGCCCCTTCCCCCTTCGTTGGAGGAGGGGGTGGCGGGTGGTGACCCCTCCCAGGCTTGAAGCAGCGGAGATCCCGTTGCGGAGAACTATCGTCCCCGCGATGTTCCGGCCCCGGCCACTTTCGCAAGTCACACAAGCCAGAGCACCGTTGACGCACGAGATGCTGTCTCTGCAATTCGGTCGGTGGTGGGAAGTCATTTTGCTTGTGAGACTCAAACAAACGCACTCAGCCACCGGAATGCGTTCTGCTTGCAGCCGCATGCACTTTGCACAGCCGTAGCCGTCAGAACCACTGGGGAGTTGAGGAGACAAGCGGCTACTGGGCAGATGACCGAGAGCAAGAGAGGCACGACGTGGTGCTGTGACAAACTACCGAATTGGCACCTCTTTGTCAAGCCCCAGCTCTTTAGCTTCCTGGCACATGAGTCATCTAACTGCAGCTCGCCGCGAGATGCCTGCTTTGGAAATTGCGGCCCCAAGAGTCCACGTGTCCTCAATGTACTGGCGCATCATGTTCAAGTCCAGGGTGAGAACCTGAAGTGTTTGGACAGGACCGACATCAGAGTGCGGTGCAAAACAGGTCTGCGCACGGCAAGATCCAAGTTTTGCTTGCAATCCACTTTCCGCTCCTGTCCGAAAGGCTTCATAGTCTTTGGCCACTGGGCCAACATGTACCAAAATCCAACTTCAAGGAAGCATGCTAAAGATAAAACTTCAGATCGCTGTCAACTCGCAAAGCACCCGTCCTCGAATTGCAGCTCTCGACGGCGGACGCTAGCAGCCTGACTGTTCGATCCGTCGATGACCCACTCTGAGTATATCGGCAATCTGCCGGTCAGCCAACTTCCTAGATTATCAGGCATGACCCTCCCACCACGGCCTCGTACATCGCGCCAGCTGATCCCTGAGACACGTCCCAGCCTGGTTTCTTGGAAGCACACATTTCGTCAACGACTGCGTTTGGTCGACAACTTGAAGTCCTGGCCGTAAACTTGAGCGTTGTTAAGAATGCGGTCAATCTCTGGAATGTCTGACATGGTGGCCTCGTGCTTCCGAGCAAATCCCATAGACGCACGTCTGAAGAGCTACAATGGGGCTCGGACGGCTTCCCGTAATTCGAGCTTTGCAAGCCTCGACTCATGATAGTGCACCTTTCCTCTGAAGTCAATCTATGACAAGCAAGGTGGCCTCTCCTCCGCGCGCCTCGATTCTGGCTCACACTGTGACACCAGCAACAACGCTCCGACAATCCTGAAAAGAGCTATCCATGCCTTCAACAGTACTTTGTGCTTTTAACTTTTACCGAGCACCCGGCTTCAGGTCTTCCTCTTCTACCTTCAGACGGTTTGCAGCAATCTGCCTGCGCACCTCTAACGAACAACGACGGTTCAGATCCTGAAGAAGGTAATCCTATTGAACCTATTGGTTGGGAAGGAAACGAGCAAAGCCCCCTCGGCCGTAAGCACTCTCACCAGATCCTGGTCGAAAGGACTGAGGCAGCTGAGGCAATGTCCTTCGCTTCTGCAGCCTCCTGCAAGACAGCTCCTTGGTTGCGCTGGGTCATCCCACAGTTTCATGCTTGATAAGGCACGTAAGATCGCACAAGCTCCCCACGAAGGCCGCCAGACGAGGAGTCATCATCCAGAGCAGCGAGGGTCTCACTCGGTCACCAAAATGCGAGATGCGGAATGGCTAGACCACGTGATCGCCCGGAACCTCTTCCAGCTCGACGAGCATCCACTCTGTGAAGGCCTGATGCCCGGCTTTTTCAAAAGTTTCTGAAACACCCCGAATCGTCTCAGTGCCTCAGGGAAAATGAGGGCCAGCTTGCGCTTGGCTGGAGGGAACAGTTCGCCAGGTGCCGCTCGCTCCTTGCAACGAGAAGTGAACAGCCAGTGAAGCTTCGACCTTCTGCGGCCGGCCTTGGCTTCCAACATGGCATCCCTGAAGAAAGGAAAACATGCCTGCGACCTTCTACGGCTGTCACGACTCGGCTGTCGGCTGGCCTGAGTCGTTCCGAATCGAAATCGACCGTGGCCTGCTGCAGCTCCAGGACACATAGCCTCCAGCTTTTACACAACAATGTCACATAGGAATGCTAAGTGAAGTCGGCTACACCGACAAAAATCCTTCCTGGTCTTACGCCACCCTGCTGGAAATCCTGGCCACAGCCAGTATTTGGACCCCGTCCGGGCAAGTAGCAGCGGTAGTAGTAGTGGTGGTGGTAGTGGTCATCGTCGTAGCAGTAGCAGTAGCAGTAGCAGTAGCAGTAGCAGTAGCAGTAGCAGTAGCAGCAGTAGCAGTAGGAGTAGGAGCAGTAGCAGTAGCAGTAGCAGTAGCAGTAGCAGTCGTGGTAGTGGCAGTAGTAGTAGTAGTAGTAGTAGTAGTAGCAGTAGTAGTAGTAGTAGGTAGTAGCAGTAGCAGTAGTAGTAGTAGTAGTAGTAGTAGTAGTAGTAGTCGTAGTAGTAGTAGTAGTAGTAGCAGTAGTAGTAGTAGTAGTAGGTAGTAGCAGTAGCAGTAGTAGTAGTAGTA